TGTGTTGATGTAAGTAACTATATTCTACTGCTTATCGCTTTCAAAAATTTCGCCAAATAAATACTTTGCCCAAAGTCGCCAAACTTATATTGTCAACTTAAGATTAATTGCATATTGTATCCAAGAGTTGTGGACTGTTGAAATCTAGGTCCAGAAGAGAACTTTTTAATATTTACATAATTTAAAATTTGCTTTGTACTCACAAGGGTCTTTTAAATATAATTAAGTTTCACAAGCGGAAACATCAAACCTATCCCAAAAATTACTTAAAAATATTAATGAAATTTTGCCATTTTATGAAGAAATTTATCATTATCTTGCTTCTAATATTCATATATACGAGATTTATGAAACTGGATTTGAACTGTAAGTTATAAGGTCCCGGGGTAAGGATCTACGGGGCAGAGCTCTAATTGCTAATCTTTCTTTGTATATCCAGTTGGCATGAATGTAGAAACACAGTTAATTTTTTTACAGAATCAATCTGTCGACTTTCCTTATTCAAAAAAAGATGGCATATTTGCAGAAAGAAAGGAAACAATGCATATAGCTAGAGAATGTAATAGTGAAGGTATTAAATACATGAAAGCTCACTTCGCGGTAATACTTTTGGTTGATCTTTGGATTATGGTAACTTGGCGATTTGTTGGCGAAAATTTGGCGACCAACTCTGCTACAGCAACCTTCTACTTTTTTTTTCGGCGCCATTTTGTCTTCACGAAGTAAAGACATGTTTCTTTTCTTTTTATTTACTGAACACTTTTTCCGACAATCTGCTAGCCGAATTACACTTATGCTAGAAATTTTATGGAACAAAACTACTTAATCATGACAAATATTAACTGCAAAATTGGGAAAAAGTGCAGAATCGCAAACTCCTTGCCGCGTTTTTCAGAATCGCACATACACAGTAACCATGTACACGTCGACTTATTTTTACTTAAAAAAACATCCCAGAATTGCACAAAAATGGCATTGCACACACTCTTCACTTTATCCACGTACACTGCTTTTTTCTCATAAATTAGAAAAATTTGCACGAAAAGGCAGGAAAATTTTGTGAATCTTTAAACTCGGTAAAAAGCACATATATGAAATTAACCTGATCGCGAAAAAGTATATACCCTTTCCAAGGATGAACATTTCCACGTATAAAATAAATAAAATATCCAAAAACTTTTCCCTCTAAATTATCTATTATAAAACGTCACCAACGAATTTATAACGCAAACATTAAAAATATTGCAAATACTTAGTGTCAAATATTTAAATTATTTCCATGCACGCTTACTTCTACTGAAACGTATTCCAAATTGCTACAAACATATAATTCACAAAATAACTATCATTTAATTAAAATATAATTAAACCATGATGTACACGTCGACTTATTTTTACTTAACAAAACATCTCAGAATTGCACAAAAATGGCATTGCGCACACTCTTCACTATATCCATGTACACTGCTTTTTTCTCATAAATTAGAAAAATTTGCACGAAAATGCAGGAAAATTTTGTGAATCTTTAAATTTGGTAAAAAGGACATATACGAAATTACCTGATCGCAAAAAAGTATGTAACTATGCAAGCTTTTATACCTTCAGCTTGCATATACCCTTTCCAAGGATGAACATTTGCACGTATAAATAAACAAAATATCCAAAAACTTTTCCCTCTAAATTATCTATTATAAACGTCACCTGCAAATTTATAACGCAAATATTAAAAATGGTTCCAAATACTTAGTGTCAAATATTTAAATTCTTTCCATGCACATTTACTTACTTCTACTCAAAAGTATTCCAAAATACTACAAACATATAACTCACAAAATCACGATCATTAAATTAAAAAATATTTAATGAAATTAAAAAAACACTACTTAAAATATAAATAAGCACATACATTAAATTAATAAAAATTAGCTTACAATCCTAATTACTTTAAACTAATTCATTGCTAATAACAATTTTCCCAATAATACCATATTAATTTATTTATGCCTTACATTTATTATTCCTTACATGCATAAAAATAATATCCTCAAATGATTAAAAATACTAACTTACCTAATCTTCTTCTAATTCTTCACAATCTTGATTGCATGGCGGATAAACTTTTCTTATACATTAAATAATCCAGTAGTCAACTCGCAGTCTATTCACCCACTAATAAGAAATTAATAAAATTTCCCCCATACTCAAACGACTTTCAGTAAACCACGTACCCTTCCTTACACCCCGTTTCACAAAATGTCCATTTTCACCAGATTTCTTGCACCGCCATTCAAACTTATCTGTAATATCCTTCCTTTCACACAATCTCATTTCATTCCCACATGTTGGACATTCATACTTTTCTGCAATTAATCCTACACTCATACACCATTCAAGCAATTCTTTTCGATTACACATAAACCCAATAAAAATTTCGGATTTATTTTACATAGGGCCATGGGATTAAGCAACACTTTCACAGAACATAGAATGAACCTAATGCTATAAAGTACGGCAGATATTTTTACAAATTTACCCCCTTTTCCGATTAAAGAACTGTGATTCGTCCATAAATGTCACATGACATATCTCATGATCTCTCATTTCCCTCACACAAAATAATGCGTAATCGGAACTGAGTACTTCTCACATTATTCCCAAAGTCCTAGGTAGTAACCTTTATCGCCTACAAAAATGTCGCCAAACTACCTGTTATCATATTCCAAAGATTAGCCATACTTTTTTCCTACTAAACAATACTGATATTAACTCTTTCAAGATGTTTCATCTATGTTGTTGCTTCTAATCCTTATATCAGAAAATCTCTTGATCAGAATTCATCATGACCAAGAAGTAGTGAGTGTGTCTTCTAGACCAGCGGTCGTCAACCCTTAGAACTTCACGGACCACTACATATATAATTTTATATTTGGCGGACCACTAATATGAATTTAAAAAAAGATAAATACATTTATACAGTAATAATAAGCAAACTACACATATTTCGTTCTCATTGAAAAATTACATGAAAAGTAGAAAAATCTTACCTTCTTGTACAGAAAGCTTCACATTTCCATATCACTGAAAAGGAACTTCACGAAAAGCAAGAACAAACCGGCAAACGCAAAGCGATATCAATAAACTGACAGTGTTATGGCGCCAATTTTTAATAATTGTAAACATAATAAGCATCGCTTACTCAATAATGCGCCATCGGCATCGATCAACAGTTAGACAAAACAAAAACGGAAACTTCCAGTGATGCAATTATAAACAAGAATGCAGATGGTTCTCATAAAAATCCATCAAGATGCCTATTCAAACGTAGAAAAACTGTGTTATTAACGATAACAATACTATATGTTTACAATTCAAAAGGAAGGAGAATTCCATTTCGCGCTATTATTGATAACAGCAGCATATCCATGGATCCCAACTCTCACTTTCAAATGTCGCTAGATACACCTGCAAAAGTAGCTAAAACGTCGCTAAATTCAGAAGAAATTTCACTAAAAGTAGTAGCTAAAATTTAATATATATATATATATATATATATATATAATCCATATTCCATAATAGATTTTGTTACTTGTCATTTTTTTTATCTGAATCTTCATAAAAATATAAACAATGTCACAATTTTCCTGCGAACCATTAAAAAGTTTCCACGGACCACCGGTTGGCGACCGCTGTTCTAGACCAGACCTTGCACACATTACATGTGACAGCACGACTTTGACAGCTCCGTCCCAGTTTTGAAGAAGAATCGGTCGGGGGCTGGGAACCTAAAGTCGCATACCCCTTTTCACATACCATCAACCTAAGAAGAATTCCTGCTCAACAGTATATTGCTCAACAGACACATATCGCAAAGACATTATATATTTATGAACCCCAAGCCTTCTCCAAGATTCTTACCCGAAACCAAGACCATGATATCTAGTTTCCCTACCACCGTGTTAAGTGAGCGCCACTCTTCTCATCTGTCAGCTGCTAGCAGAATGTTCCTCTCCCCCTCACCGAAACTAATTCTGACATACAGCTTTCCCATTACTTTTTTAATTATATTTTGCTTTAAAATAAGTCTTTTTAAGGTTGTCACGCGTTGATTAGAACATGAAAATGCACTTGCCCTAATGATGAAAACTACCACACAGCAAACAGGGTAACACACGCTGCATTCTACAATAAACCGTTACTGGTTGTTAGGAATATTTATTTATGAGTCACATTTTTGGGAAATATTCATGCATTTAAATTACAATAGTATTATATTATTTTAGATTAATCGTTGTTTAAATGACATCCTTGGAGTAATGCTACAATTGCTTAAATGTGATAAATCAGATGTCATAAAAATTGAGCAGTTTATTACAAACATTGACGCATATTATTTCCTATGTTATGTAAACTGAAAAATAGCGAGGTACGCAAATTTTTAAATCTATTTAACGCAAAATATATTCAGAAATAACATTATTTTCGAAAATGATGAACATAAAATGAACCATTTTCACTTTTTATATGGAAAGTGCTTGATCATGGTTATTTAAAAGGGAGGGAGGGGGTTTATTAACCGAAATGTCTTCCTCTCAGTTAGCTCAAATAAACGAAATACTATTTCATTTTAAGCTGATGATTTTATTAGCGAAGTCACTCAAATAATAGCTGCCGGGTACCGCAGTCTGTCAGATATGAGAATGGAATATTAGATCAGCTTAGCAAGTTTCTTCAGTAAAGATATTTTCTTATGAAAGTTTGTTTACGGAGGAAAAAAAAAAAAAGTTCTGTAAATTATGTCATTCCTTCTACAATATGAGTTTAAAACAGAAGTTAAAAAAAATAATAATAACAGATGGAAGTTGTCAGAGTAACGAGTAGTTTAGGGATCGACAAACTTGTTAACAAGCGCTATAAAAATTTCAATGAGGATATAACCCCCCAAAGCAGCATTTCCGAGTTCACCACTGGGGGGCAGGCAGGTTCCTTCGTTGCTATAGCAACGTTCAGGCAGTGCCCATCGCCCGTCACACGTTACCACACATTTTGTGCCATCTCGGCAGTTTCTTTGTACCTTTTAGCGAAAACTAGTATTTGTATTCACGACTGCATCGATGACAACAGGTTTTACTGAATGTAGCGTCAGCGTTTACATTTCTCGTTACTAACACCTCCTTCTTGTTATTCATTAGTATAATAACCATTCCAACGTGTTCGATGCTCCGACTACCTAAACAACTTTCCACGCCGTAAATTTCAAGGACACCGTTTCGCATGGAAGGCAGAGGTTAGGGAGATAGTCGGAAGTACTCGTGAAAAACTAAATTGTCATGATGAGTTATATCTTTATCCTGCAGCCGCATTAAATTTGAACAATACTGGCGAACTACTGGAATATGCTCCTTGTGAAATGAAGGTAAGCGTTTTTCATTATTATTTTGTATGGATAATCACTTCATATAAAATATTTGCTTACATGAGATGTACTTTTTCATCTGCTCAGGTATGAATTATGTAGTATAGCAAAGTTAAACGATGACTGCATGATATCTGGTGACATATTTTTAGTAATGAGCAGGGAAATAAATAATAATTAGGAAAAGATGCAAGTTCTTCTCTACAGATAAAACGAAAATTATATTCTAATTTAAAAATTTTTTCCTCTCAAAATTAAATTCAGAAAATTTTAAATATTATTATTATAGCAGAAATTTTTTAATGCTATGTAATTTCCAATACGAATAATCAAACAGTCCTACTGCCAAAAAAAAAAAAAAAAAAAAAAAAAAAAAAAGAATCATTGCTTTCCTCTCCACACACTTTACGTATGCGTACTTGAATTAAAAATTTCTGGGAATAGTATATAAAAATAAATTACTTGGACGAGAAATGATGACAAAGTATGTGGTAGGTGCGAGTGGCAATACAAGTAGTTGTAAATCATGACTACATGGGGAAGTGTGATTCTGCTACATAAAAGGGATGTATGATAAAAAAATTTTTTTTTTTTTTTTCTTTAAGGAAATGTTACCACATAAAATTAGTTAATTTTTTTCATGATAATGTATCAAGCTAAATGAATGATTGTCTAATAATATTTTATGTGAATGTGTTGATTTTTGCCTCGATTTTTCCGTTCTTGAAAATATTTTATGTCAGAGTTCTTGGGTCTCTAGGTATTAATGAATATTTGGACTCTGAACTCTTATAAAAATTGTCTGTCATATATATATATATATATATACCTTTACAGGCAGACATTGACGTCAGAGTAGTGATTTAATCGCAGGGCGAATTTAAAGATTTTCGTAGATGCCGTGAATATCAAATAAAGTACTCATACTGTCTTTTCTAATTTCCTAATTTTTTCAATACCTACCGAAATGAACGGCGACCCTTTTCTAAATTTAAAAACGTGTTATAGGAGCAGATAATATATTAATAAAAATAATGATTAATGTGATTGATTGGAACACCGTCTACATAAAAGTTTGATTTCATGTAACGCCGGCCTCGGCAGTGGCTGAATAGGTAAGAACGCTGAATACTGGTAGTTCGACCCGAGTTCGGATCTAGGCAAAGGAACTATGCGTGGTTAAGTTATGTGCTTTTCTCCATATGTGACGTGAATACGAATTAGTTCAGAAGTCTTCCACCTAGACATCCTTCCCCTTTAAACAGATAGCCCCTAGTGTGCTTTGTAACGCTATTAACAACACTACCCAAGTTTACTGGTTTATATTAAAGTTCATCACTAGAGTATCACTCTCCGTAGATAGACAGTGCACAAGTGCTTTACCATAATCTAAATGCTTAATTCTAATTCTTCCAGGTTTATAAATGAACGGTCCCATTGAAAAATTTGTTAAATATATTACTTATTTATGAAGTAATAATGTAAGTAATTAATACATAACTGATGACTTGCTACTAGAAATACTGGCGGAAGTTTTCGCAAAACTCGTGGATTAAATCTTAGAACGCAAAATTTAGCAATTATCCACCGCCCCCAAACACTCACGATCAAAGATTTACGTCTCTGACTGGATACTGAATATACGTACTTTTGTTACCGGATGCATATAACGCAGTTTTGCACTTGCATACGGATTTAAAATGTTAAACTTAACGAAATAAAGCTTATCATTTTAGCCCCTTTTATAAAGTATGGCAATGCCAAACATGATGAAATATAAAAGTGTTTGATGACAATTTCTTTAAGTTCGGAACAGTTTTACACATTTAAAATAACGGCATATTTGAAAATTTATGACCAAAAAGAATGAATTTTGAGGAATGCATATGGCCATGAAACTTCTGGACAAAGTTCCATCATGCTATTATTTTTGATTATTTTCACCTTGCGTATTATGTACTTAAAATGATTTTAGTGTAAATGTACTCTTATTCGCATGTAATATTTTGCAATTCATGCCGCAAATAATAGTGAATTCTGTATGTAATGCGATATTCAGTCAATATCTGTAAATTCAAAGGCGACCAGAAAAATTGGTCCAACGCTTCAACAAAATAGGAACTTGTATAAAAGCTAAACGTGTGAGCATCAAGAGAGGAATACAGAAGGTTCTTTGCACTTTAGAGAAACAATTTTGATAATTAATTTCATGCGGCAATTTCCATCTGCCTGATAGCCTTGATTCTTTGCTATAGCTCAAGCCCGAATTTTCCATGCAAGTAAACTTTTTCTTAGCACTGTCATGGGCAATTTTATCCCACACCTTGGGCCATTTTCAAAAGTCCGTTCAGTGTTCTTGGATGGTGTTTTTCTAAGGTGTTTTTCCGAATGGAATGGCAGCATGGGCGTTTTCGTGGTTTTCTCCATATGTTAGTGTATACGAACCAGTTCCCCTTAGAAAGTCCTCCACGACAACCTAACCTAAGGCTTGTTTTAACAAACCGAAAACGCCAAAGTTTATAAGAGACGTGTCAAGTGATTTTATTAAATGGGATAGTATAGTGAATAATTTTAGCCTTACTTGAGACAATTTCTTTAGTTTTAATTGACTGTTGTAACAAAATATTGGAACTATCATGAATACCGTTGGGACCTTCCTCCATTTTATTCGGTCATTTTCGTCAGTTAAGCAATAGAACATTTATCTTTTTTTTTTTTTAAATTACCGTCACTTAAATATATTCATGTCTCATCGAGTGTTACACTAATTTCCATTTATCAGCTACTAGGTGTTTTTCGTATAATTTTCTGTTTTTGTTTCAAGGTTTATGCATCTTTTTTAACTTCAGATTTTCACGAAGGATTTTACTTACTGTGGCAGGAGACATTAATACAGTGGAGCAAAATGACACCACTGTCTTGATAATAACGGGCCTTCGGACAATTATATCTTAGCGCCAGATATAAACGTTATTGCGAAATCTAACTAGATGGCGGGCGACCTTAATGATTTCTTTCTTCTTGAAGATTAATTTGGCGAAAACTAGAAAACACTATGGCAACCTTCCAAAAATTAAAAAACGCAATCATATAATGTATGTGTAAGCTTATGAGCGCTTACCCAAGGGACCAGCTGTCCGTTGACGGCGAAATAAATATAGATGAGGAATGCCGAAGCTGTGCGTTATCCCGAATTTCTAAATCCTCTTAAGCAGAAAGCTGTGTACTTAGAAAGAACGAAACTGTTGTTTTCCTGATGTACATAGTGATCTGTTTTCTTGTAAAGGAAATCAGAAAACTACAAATTCTGCATTGCGCATTAAATATTACATAATGTGTTCGTTATTACAAGTTAATGTAATTATTGGTATTTTACAAGTTTGCCGATCTTGGCGACTAATCCTGCAATTTTGACAATTGCACTTTAACAAGAAGTACCACATAATGGAACGAATAGCTATTTTATTCAGTCCGGAATAAATACATAAAATAGAGACAAATGTAAAAATATAAATTTATATATTTAGCAGATTAATTTCAGATTGCGCCGAAGAAATAAAACTGTAAATTTCATTTAACATTGCTGAAAATATTTAGGCGTTTTCATGTAGTTGCCAAATGAATTCGATGTGGTAAGAATCTAATAAATGAGAGCGGTATCGAGCCGCTGATGTGTATTTGCCAGTTTGCAGATAGCAGTCCTATAAAGATCGATCAAGTTCGATTTGCGGTTAACTGTTCATGTCTGACAGCTGCCAGTTCATTCCATTCACCAAATGAAAATCTTGCACGGAAAGTCCCTGGTGTCCTGTTTATTCTTTCAGCTCATTCCCAATGCAGTCATCGCACAGCTATTCATAACGCGATGTAAACAGACTAAAATACTTGGCGCTCTGATACACATTTGTTGACTGGCTCAGCGTTAATAGAAAAGTATTGATAAACTGAAGTCATACAGCTAATAGCAGTGCTGAAGCTAAACAAGCTTTCAAATGGATGAACGATAACATTTCCACTATGAGATCGTTTCAGACTGTACAACATATTTCAGATTTAATGACAATCTCTTTAAACCTGAAACATTTGAAAGAATGGAATCCTAAGCCTTCCTTGTAAAACTTTTGTGTAAAATCATCGCAAATTGAACCCACTAAGAAAATCAGCTGATGTGAAAGAAGGAAATAATGTGTAGCAACTTCTGGCGTAAACTGTGCCGCATAATTAAATTTACTCATCATGGGATTTCTGGGATATTTCGTGTTTTTAGCCCCAAAGGAGCGTTCGTCCCGAATGGTATATTAGTCTCGGAACGGAATTAGAAACGGAATTTTGCTACGAATCACGTAAAAAACAGGTGTGCGCCTGAAAGCCCGAATTTTGTATTTTTATAATTCATTTCATATGTTAAACAAGTTTTATGAATTTTGTTTAACAAACTCATCGATTTGAAAGCGACCTATGGCAGGACTGTTCGAAATTAAACATCGTTACCTCCAGCGCGCAAGACTGTTGCTTTTCAGAAAAACAATCGGGAATTCTAAAGATATAATGCTTTAAAATATTATGTGATTTTGCCCTTAAGTTTTATGTGGCATAATAGCGAAGAACGTGATATTTAATAAAATGTCCAATACGCAAAAAGTTAATAGAAGGACAAAATGTTTCGCAAGACATCATTCAAGAAAAACTGAACATTGATACGATAAAGTGAAAAAAAAGACTGAAAAATGTAGGAAAAATGTATGCCAACATTTAACAGCCACCAGTGCCGAGCGGTAAAGTCGTGGAATACTGGTAGTTTGGTGAGGATTTCGATTTGGTTTGGTTTAAATACGCGAAAGCACATAAGGCATATCTGCCTAAGGGAAGGGATGCCTTTGTGGAGGACTTTCTAAGGGAAACTGGCTCGTATACGCGTTACACATGGGGAAACCTCGAAAACGCCTATGCAGCCAGCCCGTTCTCCGGCATTCGAACCCCGGACCAGTGTTCAGCGACTT